GAGCTATTTGCAATTGGCAACACATCAAGTGACAGTCAAGTAACATTGACAATAATTATTTTACCTAAATGAACTAATAACATTTTGTAAAATTCAGATAATGCTGTCAGTTTTAATCTCTCTTTCTCAAGTTTCCCATTAATTTGAAGCACATCATGCTTCTTCACAGACTCCCCAGTAAATCATAAGCCAATGTTCTAGAGCATTCAAGCAAAATCACATTGGACTGAGCTAATTTCTTCAGCCCAAACACAAAATTATGTACAATAACAAAAAACTTTTGCTTATAATTTTATACTGAATTCTTGGGACATACAGAAAAAATGCATTATAATTGCTCACTCTGAAACAACATCATAATTTCCTCAGGATGCGTGTCTATTCACTACTCTCTGCATCATGTGTCTTTTCTAATTTTTCAAACAGAAGTCAAAGGAATGTCCCTAAGAACAGCAAAACACCCAGGAGCTCAGTGTTATAACAGGCTGAAGTGAATGGCCTAGAATCCTTCTCCATAACTTCTGACTTCTTTCAGTAGCACATAAATACAGAGCAGGTGCTTTCCTGCAAAATACCCCAGTAAGATTTTCATCCTAAGATAACTTAAATTGAAAACATTTGCTGAGAACCTCATAGATAAGTAGAAAGAGCTTATTGTTTTATTTTGCATTACATTCCTTAATTGTTCATCATGAGCTAAGAACACTGGCAACTAAAAATAGCATGACATTACCTTGACAAAACAATCTCCCTGATGACAAATCAATTCTAGGAAAATGACAGCACAACAATGCCTGGGACCACATTTTTAATTAAATAAAAAATTAAATTTTATTTAATTTTTAATTAAATAAAAATTTTTATTTAATTTTAATAAAAATGATTTTGTGTGAGACTACTAACATCCCAAAGAGAAAAATATGATTATACAGTTTCAACTAACTTTACTCTTTTTTTTTTGACAAATTTTAATAAGGCACTTCATTTTTATCTCTTATACTGATTGCATTATGAAAGGATTTGGTTGAACAGCATATCTCATTTACTGAAGTTGACAATCTTGATAATTTCTCTCCTTCATAATGATATCATACTATCACTTCTTGTCACATTGCTACCTAATAGTTTTTATCAAAGTCTCTCTAGGAGCAGTAAGTGGTAGCTGCTTACCCCAGAAAAAAGAATTGGTGACATGAAAATGCTAGCAAGTCATAGGAATACTACTCCTCTTTCCATGCTGACACTGAACTAACAAATAGGAATTAATAAAGTTAGTGAGAAGTATATCAGCAGCATAAAACCTTTTCATTTATAACATACAGATAAACACTGCAGTAGATTCTTTGGAGAGATTTAAAATTTAATTTTGAAATTCAGAGTTTTTTAAACAGTAAATACTTTTCAGCCTGGCTCATATGGACCACTTACAGCCCTTGCATTTGCATGAATCAATAGAATGATCTATATATCAGCTATTTCTAAAATTTCCTCCTTTTTTAGGAGAGGGCCTACAAACCACTGAACTCTTAGACAAGTGTCTGTTTGAATAAATTTATCTACAGCTACTCTTATCTTGCAGCAACAATGAATTCCTGAGATTCCTTGCTCTATTTGTTTGCAGCTGCCATCTCAACAGCCCACCATCATCATGCATTTCCAGCTCCAACTACTCCTCCATCTCAGTGCCTTTGATTATTCTCTTGATACTGTCATCAAACTATTAAAATTCTCCCTCATCTGACTGAATTATTTGAAAAAATATACACAATGAACAAAAACTAGAATGTTCTCCATCTATCCTCTTTGATTGGAAATTAATATTTTTTTCTTTTGTATATTAGCAAAGAACGGAGCTCTAATTTTCTGTTTGATATTCGTAACTGATTCCAACAAATGATTTTGAATGTACTTTCCATACATTTCTTGCTAGCTTACATACTGTAACTTAAGAAAAAGTAAGGTTGTCCTATGAAATTTAGTCTTATTTCAAACATTCTAACTGAAAATGACAAGAGTACCAGATAAATTGGAGTGTAAAATACTTACAGTTCATTCGTCTGTCTGTCATTTCTAGAATTCCCTCCTATGATATTGTGATGAAAAATATGTGGCTGAGTTTTACTCGTTTTACTCTCGTTTTACTGAGTAGAAATAAACTTCAGCCTAAGGAATCTTATTTGGCTTTAACAACAGTGAATAATGTAAATGAGCAATGGAAGTCAGAAGTATAGCAAAGTAGTAGAAAACTGACATTACATTACTGGATCAGCTTCTTTGGTCAGGCTATCTAATAGCATGATCCAAAGCTATTAGCAACCCTACAAAACCTAGGCACATTGTGTTAATAGTAATTCTAAAGCAGTCCTAATACACAGTTACACCAGGCAGGATATATTGTTTCCTACATCATATGAAGGCAAAACATGAATAATGTAAATTCCTTCCAAAAATCTACACAAAATTAGAAGATATCTTCAACCAATCTTCATAACAAATCTTCATAATTTCAGACTCTCCCTCTTGTTCCTTTTGACGACCTCTTAGCCTTACCTACCCCACCAGCATAAAGGTTCTTTAAGGCACCTTGCTCAATTAATACCTAAGGTACATTTAGGGTACCTCAGGTCATGCAGCTCTGCTGCTCCCCTTCCAAACTATGAGATGTGCAGTGTATCCTTGTAACCTGCCACAAGGAAGCCTGTATTTGTGTACCTGTTACACTTTACTAGCAATATTGAACAGGTGACTTGAAGTAAAAAACCTTTCAACTACCAAGAATAACCATTTAAGATCGTTGATTATACCCTGAGCATCACAGTAGAGCTGTTTAAATTCCTCTGCCTTGAACTGGCTCTGGGCACAATCAAGGCCACATTCACTCCTAGCATGCATCAACAGTTATGACAATCCCTTCTACCAGTTTCCTTTTTTTTTTTTTAATAGTCCCCTGAAGAGTCTTAATTGCATGTACCTTTAATGAGTGAACATTACACAGTTCCTCTACCCATAAACTCCACTGCTGTGGTTTAAGTTCCACATCTACATAACTGCAATCTAGTAAATTTTCCTTCTAGAAAAGCTTTGTTGCAGCTGTGAGACCTGATTATTTACCACCACTGGCTTAAGTGCAATTACCATACTGTTAAGGCAAAATGCTGACTCTATGAAAGACTCACTGAATAGGTACATTTACTTCGCCAAATTTAGACAAAGAAGAAATTAAGAAAATACCTAAACTTTTCAGAAAAAATTAGCCTGAAGCCTGAGTGACAGTCTCACCCAGTGGATTTTTAAATGGGAAAGGCAAGACTGCTTTTAGGCAGATTAATGACACTATGCCTTTCTTTTACAGCAGTAACTTTATCTCCATTAACAAATGGAATAAGAAACTGCCTACAGCTGCAGCAGTTGCCAAATCAATTATTAGAATTCTGATACAAAAGTACTTTACATCAATATAAGAATTATATTAATATATAGTGGCCTTTTTTTCCTAACACCTCTCAAAATGGTTGTAACATCCATCACCTTTGTATCCTGGCTGCTGTGAATGAGAGAACAGGTCTGTAGCTGAACTTATACACTGAGCTACTGGAAAATCAAAAGGACTGGTATAATAATCCCATGTGTACTGAGAGCAGAAATAATTTCATGTTACTGTACAGAGATATGTCTGACCCGGTTTAGAGTACTACAGAATTTTTCTTCATCGTAAAGGGGGAAAAAAACCTAACTGCCATTATATGGACTCTAAGAAGAATATAAAAAAATTAAAGCCTAGGTAATCCTGAATAACACACATTCTTAGGGAAGCACAGCATCAGCATGTGGGTGGCATGACAACCATTGTAAAAATTACTTCCCTTTGGTACTACTTTGAATATATTGTATGTCTTCATTAAGTTACCTGCCTAAACATATACACTACGAGAATATTTTCACTTTACATATACACCTGTTTTCTATGACCATTTTTCAAATATCAAAACATTCTATATTATAGGCCCTCAAAGTTAAATTTATACAACCAATAGTACCTATTCATCAAGATGAATATTCATTTGAAATCCATGCATTAATTCTGACACCAGAGAGTGCACAAATTGTAACTTCCAAGCATACACTAAACGTTTGCACTGATCAACAGTACTAGAAAAATTGTGTTCAGACACAATGTTTCAAGTCACTTCCCAAACTGCTGTTTCATCATTCTATCAGGAAAAAATAGGATTAGAATTCAATCACATCTTATACCGTGTTGATGAAGGTTCATTTGAATACATTTAAGAACATATGAATAACAGGTTGGTTAGAATTGTCACAATGTCATTTGAAAAGGAAATTTCAAGCAGGGTTACAACTCTTCATATGGAATGTCACCATGTGTTTTGTAAATCAATAAATTTTACATTATTTTGCAGGTTATTTATCCTTTAAAAACCCAAAACCCCATTGGAGTTAAAATGCTTCCTAAATTCTGAATTCCAAGAAATTATTATTTACAATCTTACCTCTTTTCACTGTCACCTGCTGCTGAAGTTGACAGCAGGGAAAGGTTTGTCTTTCTGATACTACTGGCACCACTCAGTCCTTGTCACAACAGGGTAGTCAGTGCATCCTTTCCTCCTCACATCTTGACCACACAAAATTGTGCCTCTAGTCAATAAACTATTGTAATATGCTGGAAATTTTAAATACATAGACCTGATACATATTATGTCCTATTCATTCTATAATAGCTTAACTAAAGTTAGTGATAAGCATAATTTACCTTTGCCCAAACTTTCTAATGTTATGGTTTTGTCTTTGTTTTTAATTCCATTTCATGCACTTAATGCTCTAGACTGCATTCAGTGTATACATCATTATGTAAGCACATTGGCATGCACAGGCAATACAAGAATAGATTATAATTAATCCCATAGACAACCAAAAAAGGTGAAGTTGCATCATGCAATGAAACCAGCTTGGCCTGGGCTGCCATGCAGAAAAAAACCTACATCAATGAGTCTGCTGTACGGCTCCTAGGTAAGAGTTGATATGAAAGAGGTGAGTTATTTCAGCAATGAAGTCACAGGCTGAGAATGTTTATACTACTGTCAACAAAATACTGTACATAGCACCAGTATTACTCAGGGATGGGGGAGAAGATGCTTGGTAAGGAGGACAAAAAGGATGAGAAAGAAGAAGAGGGAGGAGGAATTATAAATTACAGTAACCAGTCTGAAATCCAATCGGTTCTTTTAAATAAGCATTTTGTTATTTCATTCAAAATAATTTCACTTGAGCTTTCAAAGCAAACCTGAATTTTCAGTGTATTTTGAAGAAAAAAAGATGAAATAATGAGATACAGAGCAACTTCAAAATGTCCAACATGTTCAGTAATTGATGAATAACTGAAGATCATAAACACATAGATATGCAGAGGTGAATTTTTCAATGCAGTGCACAGGATCCAAAAAACACAAGCTTCACTGATTTGAATGCATAATCAATCAAACTAAATGAATATGGACAGTATAAAGGATGCATTGATATGGGTGATTTATTTGGTCACCTTTTGCTGCTTTTCTAGTAAAAGACATCCCTGGTGAATAAAGGAATGTTTTCTCAGAACTTCTGTTGAATTGCCTTTACCTTACTCACCTTCACAGCTGCACTGAACATAACAACATGACTGGAATTACAGAGTGACCACCTGGCCTCTTCTAAATCATGTACATTGGGCACAGTACCACATAGCCTGATTCCAGAGAGTTCAGAAAGACCTAATTGAGCAGGGAATTTATTTATTGCAGCATTCACTTGAGGTGCTACCCTGTGACGATAAATGTAGGATTTCGTAACACTGTAATGTATTATTGTGTGTTCCATTACAAAAGTATTTTTTCCATATTTATCAATAGGTATATTGTTTTCAAGCAATTTTTCTTAATTACTCTTAAATATATATTATCATTCTATTTTTAGCACAGTTCCCAAATATATAAACTACTTATGCAGGGTAGAAATTCACACAACATCAAAAACTAGCTTTAACAAGGAAACTAAATTTCACTTACTGTATAAGGTTTTTAATAGAATCTATTGTTCCATTTGCAGTACAATTACTTTTGGTATCTTTGTTTTTATATACTAGTAGCTTTGTGAAATATCAATTTTTTAGTTAGTAAATTGTCACAGAAATTTAGATCAAAATAAAATGAAATAATTGACAGTAGAAGTAATTTTCTGGCCTCTTGAAATGTCTTAGAATATTTGCAGAGAAACCGGAATTTGACAGGTAAAAAAAATTTCTCAATTGCTCATTCCAGATATAAAACCTCCAATGGTACTACTCTTATATAGCAAAATTCACATTCTTTTTTCAGACAAACACTTCCAACCTTTTCAAAGGAACAGAACTTGAGTCAAGACTCATACCACTTTTGGCCACTGTGTGCTATTTAACAAGGCTAGTAGAATCTTTCATTAATTGCATCTTAAATATGTGAATATTTTCTTGAGTGTACAGGTATGCACTTACAAACTGCTGCAGAGTGCATGCAAATGTTATTGCCTGAGAAGAAGGTTACTTAGTCAAGAGCAATTAAAGCACTGCTGACAAAGCCAGAAACCAGTAAATTGTTTAAGGCAAGCAGATGAGGAGCCCAAAAATTTTGGAACTCAGAGACTTCCAAAGTGTACCATTCAAATAGCTACTGCACAGCCAGTAATCAGTATTCTGGCATACACAGTATGGACTATAACATACATGTATGTATCAAAGCACAAATGATACATACTATATATGTACACTTTCCCATTGTTGTGGAAATAGAAGAATCTTTATCTTACTTGAAAAGCATTGACTCAGCAAAAGATTAAAAGCTGTCTTTAAGTTAATTCTTAATAAACTCAATACACCAGTAATCTTTCATTTAGCTGTGATAGAGAATTCCTTGAGATTCACAGAGAACACAAAGCTGGTCTGAGTTCCACAATGTCATCACTGTGAATATGACCATAACATAGTAAACACAAAAGAAGAAGAATCATATCCTTGGTATCTGCTACTAATGCAGCAGAGCATGATAGAAGCTACAAATGTAATCCAATGATCAGGTTACAATACAGTTTACCATACATTTACTCAACAGTTCATTGTTCTACAAGCAGTGATTTTTTTTGCTATAAAACCAGCTAATTTGGAGATTCAACTATTAGGTTTAAGAAGAGATTCAATCATCTGTTTTCTGATTGTAGCTAGGAACCAATCTCATGTTAGAAAAGTTTCCCTGCTTCAGCTGGAGAGAAGCTATCAAACTCATCTATTTCATAACAATCTAAAGTAGGAGAAATTTCTCTCTTTTGGTGTAGCCAAAAGCCATAACAAACTTTACATAGTTCATACAAGTCTGCTGCAAATTATGAAACCTAATCATTATGAAGGGTACTGTACTATTTAAAATAAATGACCAGAACTATCAAATGTAATAAAATTTCTGAGATATTTAGCCCTGGAGTTAATTCCTTCCAACCCCTGAACATAAAACTCCTTTTAACAAACCAATTACTGGGAAAGTTTAGTGTGACAAAACAGGGGATCCAATTCCTAGTTCTAGTTTTCTGTTTTGAGGACTTGATTATACATAACCAGGTAAGTGAGTTAATAAGACTTATGAACTATGCGACTGAAGATGGACATAAGCAAGTTCCTGGAACAACAGAGTGACTGGATTCATACCCATTAACCTGTGGTGATGTGAACAAGTACACTGCCACTGCATTTTAGCTACAAAACCAAATGCATTGAAGTTTTAAATTTTCCCTAGGCAGCAGAGCTTATTCAACTCGCATCAGACATTCATGTTTATGACAGAGAGCAGGTTTAGAGAAAAAGCTTTCTTTCCTATGAGCTAAGAGTGCCTTGAAACAAGCCTTGAGATATCATGCTAAAAGGGTCCACAATGCATGTACTTAGTTATCCTTTCACATCAGGCTAGAATAACACCAGCCTATCCTGATTGCTGTAGCTGTTTATTTCACTTCTGTCCCCACCTCAAGCAAGCCCATTACTTTTCCTTTCCAAAATCCACTCACTTCCCAGCCAGTTTCTCTCACATAAACCCCCCAATTTCTCCCCAAAAAAAAAAAAAAAAAAAAAAAAAAAAAAACAAAGCAAAAACAAACCTTGCTATATCCCTAATGCTCAAATTCTTCCTACAAACACCATTTAAGGACCATACAACAGTTTGCCCATGTCTGCCCAGGATTTTCTCTCTAATGTGATTCCGTACTTGCAGCAGTTCCATGTAAGTGAATTAGCACAACAAATAGTACTAGCTGCTGTGTTAAAGCACAGGCACAATTCTCTGGCACTGCAGAATGTGTTTGGGATAAGATGCACAACCACTGCACATGTGTTGATTTTATAATTTATTAAATATGTTACAGGGGAAAAAAAAAAACAGAAGAAAAGTTTTCCCAAAGTAAACAAGGGAATTTTAAAAATAAGTTAAAGCATTTCACATCCTCTGATTATCTGAAAATCCATATATACACAAACACTTGGCAAAGGTAGATATAACCAGGGAGCTTTGAGATACTAAAGGGAAAAGAAGGACACAGCAAGTGGTATCAGAATCCAATGGCTGAACATCCAAACCCGGGTCTAGCCATGGGCTTAGGGAAGCTCAGGAAAAAAGGTAAGAATTGTAAGCTATAACTTATTCACATTTAGTTTCTGCTAGAACATGGTTTAGTAGGATTCTTTTACTCACTGAAAATACCATAAAGCATGTTACTAATTACTCAAAACACCTTCATTTCCAAAGGGCTTGTCTATACAGAAACAAGAAGAAACTATGCTAAATACATTGGAGAACTAGGAAGAGTACTGTCCCAGGACTTCTGGGAAAAGCAAGTGTGGATAATGCAGTAAGGACTGAAATGTAGAATTACTAATCTAGCTCTGATGAGGACTGTAAAGAACACGTTTCTATTCAATAACTGCTTATTACAGAAGCTCATTGCAATGACCATTAGCCAGTAAATGAACTGGTATGATGGAAGATACATCAGGGTTGTGCTTTATGGAACAGTAGGATCCTTAAGTATCCTTTCTAATGTTAGATTAGATCACAGATTCCAAGTTACAAACCATGTATGACAAACTTATGCACAGTATTATTGATGAGCATGTCTGCATGCCCACCATCACTACTGAAGTCGTAGACATACTGGTCTGTGTGTAAAGACCACAAGCATCTTTGCTTGGTCTTTGCAGAACAAGCATCTTTGTGGAAACCTGTGTAGGTAGATCTGTCTTCTTTATGAGACTGCACAAAGATGTTTTTTAACAAAGCTGTCAAACTGACAGGTCAAACTTTGTTACACACAGAACCCATCAACCCATCAGTACTGTAAATCTTGATGCACACTGTACAAAAGTAACTAGACTGGCCGTAGAATTCTTGGCAGGCTTCTCTCCATTCTTGCTGCTTGTTCAGATGAACACAGGCTGCTAGACCGAATATTCTGTAGTTCACTCAACCTCTTCCAACAGCTTGCCAAGGCCTCAAGATGGGTTATATTTATCATACACAATGGCAGTAAGATACTGGAGGTTAAAAATTATTGCAACTTCACTGACAGACAGGTTTTTACACAAAGTCTGATGGTGAATTATGGCCGTATGAAAAACAAGTTGAAAGATGTGTTCCTGACTGATCATGATGCTACATCAGTTCCACTCCAGTTAAATACCTACATATATGGAAAAACCTCTGTGCTTCCAGAAATATCGAAATTTGCAGTTTCATGTATTTTGAAAAACTATCCAAGCTCTATTCAATAAGTGGTTTTGTTTTGTATGTATATTTCTTCCCTTTCCCAAAAGGCATTATTATTAATATAGCTATGGACAAAAAAAAAAAAAAAAAAATTACGTATCTTAAACTTCCTCTTTTGACCAATTTTTGGGAAAAACTGAGCCAAGTTTTCATGCCAGCATTACCATCCTGTATGTGCAACAAGGACACCA